GGATTTGAGTGGAACGTAAACGGACTGAAGGAGAAACAGCTGAGCGGAGATGCTGCTGCTGTTGCAGAGCGAGAGGCTGTGAGGAGGAGCCAGAGGGACTTAGTGAGAGCACATCATGGACACCAGTGAGGTTGTGACGGAAAGACGTCCCAGGGGAAGTGAAGCCAGGAAGACCTTCACGGTAAAGGAGCTCTCAGAGACATGCCACAACACGGACAGGCAGAGGGTCAAATGCTGGAAGCAGACCATGTTCAGAAAGCAGTGTGACAACTCGGCAAGGCCCTGGGAAGATGCTCACTCTGTACCCTAAGATATGTGACAAGGAGACAAGCTCTTCAAAATACTTCTAAGTTTTTCACAAAGAAATAAAACACTTTGATTCTCAATGTTTCTAATGTTTTAAATTACAGTGTACTAAATATTAGTTGTACTATTTTTTTCCATTTCCCTATACATTTATAACTAAAACAGAGTTTTTAACATTCTGACAAAAATTTTTTAAAGCTTATGAAATACTCATAATTTTTCTCACCGAATAAGATTGTTCTGCATGGTTTCAGCTCACATGGTCGTTTTTATGGTTCCAAAGTACCATGCAAAGGGAGGACCACCCAGGCTGATATGAAGTGATCTCCACAAAATAATGTTTAGTGAAAAAACACCCAAGCGTACAACTGTATGCTACCTTTCATCTAAGAAAGGGAAGACATTAAATATGCATGTACATACACATAAGTGTATTTGTATGTACTCATATTAAAAAATAAAACAACAATAAAGGGTAAACCAAAGCTATGAAAACTACTACTTATGGGGGAGGAAGGGACCAGAGCTGAATAGACAGGGGCAGACTCTGGGCTCATCTGAATATATCTGCTTTGTGACTTTTGACCTTGCAACCATGTATATTTTTACATACTTACAAAACAAAATTTAGAAAATACTTTAAAAAGGCAATCTCTAAGCAAAGAGAAGGGAACACTTCCTAACGTATCCTCTACGAGCAGTGTTACCCTAACACCAAAACCAGACAAAGGAATCATAACGAAACAACCAGCCAGTATCTCTTATGAATAGAAATACAAAAATCATCAACAAAACAGTAGCAAACGAAATCCAGCAACATAAAAAGAGGACTATACACCATGACCAAGTGGGATTCGTTCCAGGAATGCAAGGTTGGTTTAACATTGGAAAAATCAGCTCGTGTAATGTCAATAGAATAAAAACCCCAAACCACACAATCATCGCATCAAACAAGTCCAAAAAAATCATCCAACAAATTCAACACCCTTTACTCAAAAAACTAGGAAAGGAATGTCCTCAACCAGATAAAGGGTTTCTATGAAAACCCACAGCTCACATCATGCTTACTGGTGACAGACCAGATGCTTTCCCCACAAGATCAGGAACAACACAAGAATCTCCACTCTCCACATCTATCCAGCACTGCACTGGAGGCTCTAACCAGAGCAATTCAGCAGCACGAAGAAACAAAAGACATCCACACTGGAAGGAAAAACTGAAACTGTTTCTACGTGCAGGTGACGTGACCACATACGTACAAAATCCTAATGAATACACTAAAAAATGTTAGAACTAATAAATGAGTTCAGAAGGACAGCAGGATACAAGATCGATACACAAGAATCAATTTTATTTTTATACATTTGCAATAAACAACCTGAAAACAAAATTCAGAAAACAATTCCATTTATAATAGCTTCAAAAAAAACAAAATACTTTAGAAAATATTTAACGAAAGTGCAAAACTTACATTTGAAAACTACAAAACATTTTTATTTTTTTGCTGAGGAAGATTCGCCCTGAGCTAACATCTGTTGCCAATCTTCCTTTTATGGTGAGGAAGATTTGCCCTGAGCTAACATCTGTGCCCATCTTCCTCTATTTGGTACGTGGGTCGCTGCCACAGCATGGACAGCAAGGAGTGGTGTAAGTCCATGCCCAGGAACAGAACCTGGGCCGCCAACGCGGAGTGTGCCAAACTTAACCATTAGGCTATGGGGCCAGCCCCTAAAACATTTTTTAAAGATATTAAAGATCTAGGTATATGAAAAGACATCCCATGTACATGATCAGAAGACTTAATATTAAGATGGCAATACTCCCCAAACTGATCTGTAGATTTAACGCAGTCCCTATCAGAATACCAGCCAGCATCTCTGGAGAAACTAACAAGCTGATCCCAATTCATATGGAATTGTAAGGGACCACAAAGTGCCAAGACAACCTCGAAAAAGAACCAAGTCGGAGGACTCACATGTGCCCCTCTCAAAACTTACTACAGAGCAGCAGTCATCAAGACAGTGTGGTGCTGGCATAAAGACAAACATGTGGAATCAGAATCCAGCAGTAAACCCTCACACGTATGGTCAATTATTTTCAAAAAAGGTGCCACGACCACTCGACACGGGAAAACAGTCTCTTCACCATTGGTACCAGGACAACTGGATTTCCACACGCAAAAAAATGAAGTTGGACCCTACGTCACTATACACAAACATTAACTCAAAATGGAGCAAAGACCTAGACACAAGAGCCAAACTATCAACTCTTAGAAAAACAAGTAAATCTTCATGGCCTTGGATTTGGTCATCATTTCTCGGATGCGACACCAAACGCACAGGCAACAAATGAAAAAATAGATAAAATGAACTTTATCAAAATCAAAAACTTTTTTGCATCAATGGACAGTATCAAAAAAGTGAAAAAACAACCCAGAAAATGGTAGAAGATATCTGCACACCATGTATCAGAGAAGGGACTTGAATCTAGAATATCTAAAGAACCCTTACAGTTCAACAAAATGACAACCCAACTAAAAAATGGGCAAAGGATCTGAACAGACATTTCTCCAAAGACACACAAATGCCCAAACGAGCAGATGAAAAATGCTCAACATCGTAGTCACCAGGGAAAGCACCTCAAAACCACAAGGAGACACCACCTGAGGCACGCTGGGACACGACTTCTACAATCCAAAAGACCACAAGTGTCGGCGAGGCCGTGAGAAATCGGAACCGTCACACTGCTGGCGGGAATGTAAAACGGGGCAGCTGCTTTGGGAAACAGTTTGTGGTTCCGCAAAAAGTTAAACATAGCGTCACCATCTGCCCGAGCAACGCCACTCCTGCGTGCCCGTATCCAGGAGAAATGCACACATGTGCACACAAAACCTGTACATGCACGTGCACAGCAGCACCATTCACAACAGCCCAAAGGTAGGCCACCCAATGTCCATCCCAACCCCAATGTCCACCTGTGGATGAACGGATAAATACACAGGATGGAATCCTGAGAGGACGCAGCAGTGACACACGCTAAAACGCAGGTGAACCCTGAAAACACAGGATACCTCGCTTCATCGTGCTTTACTTGATCGTGTTTTTTACAAGACCTTCCCCCAGCAAAAAGATTTTCACTTGCTGAAGGCTCAGGTGGTGGTTAGCAGTTTTTAGCAATAAAGTATGTTTTAATTAAGGTGTGTACATTGTGTTTTTAGACACAATGTTATTGCACACGTAACAGGCTACAGTACAGTGTCAACATAACTTCTACATGCACTGGGGAAACCAAACAATTCGTGACGCACTTTATTGCGATATTCGCTTTATTGCGGTGGTCTGGAACTAGACCCACAACGTCTCCCAGGTCTGCCTGTATGTTGAGTGAGAGAAGGCAGACCCAAAAAGCCAAGTGGTGTGATTCCACGTATATGAAATGTCCAGGATACGCGCATCTATAGAGACAGAAAATAGATCAATAGTTTCCTAAGGATGGGGAAGGGAGACTGGGGGAGGACAGCTAAAGTGGACGGGGTTTCTTTTTGGGGTGACAAAAATATCCTACAATCCACTGTAGTGGGGCTGCACAACTCTGTGAACACACTAAGCTGTATTGAGCTGTACACCTCAAATGGGTGGTATGTGAATTATGTCAATAAAGCTGTCCCACAAAGAAAAAAAGGCAACCCTAAAGGTTGAAAGCGAAAGGCAGCACGTGAGGTTATTCAGCATGTGGACCAGGAGAACCTTTTCATAATGCACATATGGACAGAGGATTAGCATCCAGAACATGAAGAGAAACTCCACAGGACGGAGGAGACGGGAGGGGAGGGGAGGGGAGGCAAAGAGAAAGACCAAGCCCCCCGTGGCACAGGAGGCAAAGAAGAGGCATAGCGGTGCCCTGACAAGACGTGAAGGCTGAATTCAGGGCACACCCTGAGGCAGGCCGACCCACGGGGGATCGGGACACACCAACTCCAACACCCAGGGGTGCCCGTGCACAGCTACCGGGGACACACCAAGGGCCGGGAGGGCCGGGCCTGGGGGCCCCCTCACACGCTGCGGGCCCGCACGTCGGTGCAACACCGTGGAGGCAATCTGGCGCTGTCTAACCAAGGGGAGGGTGAGAATGTCCTCTGTCCCGGCAATCCCACCTGTAGGGCGAGGCGCCAGAGAAACCGGCACGAACACAGGCCCCAGAAACACAGAGATCCGTCGGGGGGAACGCATAAGGAAACCGTGGCAAATTCCCACAACACGACAGTGTACAGAAAGTGAAATGACTGTGCTACGCCTACACGCGCCAGCACGGACAGTCTTGAAACATACCACTGAAATGCAAAACCAAATTGCCACATGATGCACCCAGGATGGCAGCATTGAGGGTAAGTTTAAAATCACACGACGTGTTGCCACACATGAGTCCATGTGCACAGGGAGAGACACGGGGTCGGGAAGGGGTGGAAGAAGGCCTGCGATGAACCTCGGGGGATGGGTTTCCTGAAAGACGCAAACGTTAACAGTCGCTAAATCTCGGAGGGCGATGCACAGACGCGTCTGCGTTCTTCAACGTTCAGGACAGAATTAGTACAAACTCCCCACGTGTGTCTCAGGTTTAAGAACCGAAGCAGGAACCGGATGAGCAAACCTGCGCACGTGGTCGCACCTCAGAGGCTCACACGCGGGGGCACCCACCTTGGCCACTCTGCCCATGTCCTCCATCGTGGCTCTCTCGTGCGGGAAGCGGGCGAAGGTCCTCTCGATCTCGGTGATGACGGCATCTACGTTCACCGTCTGCTGCGGACGGCCTCTGGGGAAGTAGAACGCGGGAATGCTGTGGCTGGTGGCCGGCGGCAGGGGCTGCTCCTTCTTCGTCTGAACCTGAGCAAGGAAACAGGCGACACCTCAGTTAGAACTCGGGAACATGAAACATCTTCTTTGCACTAACGTAACGGACGGATGTGGAACACCTCCAGAAGTGAGCACACCGAGCCCATCTAACCCGAATTTGGACAGAACTCCAGACAATCCCAGCGGGCCAACTCCAGTCACGAGGACGCCCACACACGGGAGGGCACAACCTGCGAGTGAGCGTCACAGGACCTCTGATCTGCACTGCTGAGCCTCCTCCAACCCTGCCTCAGCGTGACCCGAGGGGACAGGACAGCTGACTGCCCAGGCTGCCCGAGAGGCCGGCGTGGGTCCTCGTAGGGAACCTGCCCCGTGGTCCTCCGGGAGGTCAGGGTCAGCCCAGCTGGGCTGTCGACAGGCAGTCGCTCAGGGCCAGGACAGGGGGTGTCCTCTCGCTTGGAGCCTGCACCTGTAATCACTTGTTCTCACAGGTGTACGTCCTGGAGAAGGAGATGCATGTCCACCCTCCAACCTGGGATGGCCGTCCCAGAAAGAATCTCGGCCCTGCAGTCTTATCCTCGCCAGAAAGTGCAACAGCAGACGAGCCCTCCCAAAACCAAGCCGACACCTTTAGCAGCATCTAACTTCAAGAAGTTCAACCTCCTGATGCCCCTTCCAGGACAAAGCTGTGTCAGGACGGCCCCCTGGGTGAGGCAGTGAGCTGACCTGCTGTCAGGCTATAGTTACAGGTCAGAAGAGTGTACCTTGTGTACAGAATAGGGTTGCGTTTTAAAACCCCCCGAAGTAGAAATAATTGTTCAGTGGAACCATTTAAGAAACGCCTGCAGAAAGCCGGCCATGAACCGGGCACCAGGCCGGGTCTGGGGGTTCCCAGAGGGTGAGAGGCACCAAGACGCCTTTGTGGCCAGGCTCAATGAATCTCAGTGTCCCCGTCACTGTAGGGCACTGTCTCCCAGCAGGACTCCACGGTGTGTCTCTATGCTGACCCAGGAGAGGCTTCTCGGGGCCAGAAGCAGCTGGCCTAAGCCCAGGCTCATCGATGGCCACCGAGAACCAGGCGTCCAGTCCCTCTCAACGGGCAGTGACGGGGAAGCACAGTCCAGCCTGCAGACGCATCTCCAGTCCACACTCTGCTTTGTATGGTTGGGGCTACACACTGATGCAGCAGGAACAACACAGCCTCCTAGCGGGGAAGGACCGGAGCGAGAGGTGAACACTCGACTCCTGAGGCCACTGGGGACTGACAGGGGCTGGGGGTCAGCAGACTCCAGAGAAGCGGTGTGAGGGGCACCCAACTCAGCAAGGTCTGGGGAACTCAGAGCACATGGGGCACTACGGGACCACACGGAACCCACAGAGCCTGACACACACACTGCAAGACACACACACTAAAGAACACGACAGGCAGAGGAAAACGCCTAGCGCCTAGACGCAGTGCGATTCACAGCCTGAGGGACGGTACCGCACAGCAGGCCCCGCAGAGCTGACTGAGGGGGTCTCGTCTATGCGCCACAGGGCACTCACACATCTCAGCCACCCTTCCCCCTCGCTGAGTCGCTGAGCACGGCGCATGCACCCCTGCCTCACACCCACAGGGACCAGGAGCTGGACCCAGCAGGACACCGATAATACCACCAAGTTACCACCGGGATATGACACAGTCTATTGGGCTCTACCCCTCCCAGTGTTTCTGAAACCTGTGAGGTGGACTACATTTCTCATCCTGCAGTGGGGGACCACTTCCCGACCCCGTCACAGCCTCTGGGACCAGCCTGTGTTCTCACAGGCCACAAGCAGGGACGGCCCCACACCCCTCTCGGTGGCGTCTCGGGACGGCCCCGCGCCCCCCTCGGTCGCGTCTCAGGACGGCACCGCGCCCCCCTCGGTCGCGTCTCGGGACTGTCCTGTGTCCTCCTCCGTTACATCTCTGGACTGTCCTGTGTCTCCTGACTGTTTTTCTGAGGTACCAGGAGGAGGAGACACTTGGTCAATGCTTGCTGTCCCAACACCACTGCAGTGACCCGCCGATGGTGGCCACATATCCAGAGGAGGTGAATGCCGCCACGAGTCAGCTGTGCTGGGCAGGCAAGGCGGAGAGCCTGGAGACACAGGGCACCAAGCCAGGTGATCACAATGGATCAAATAAAATAGTCAGGGCCTCCACGTAGGGTCACCTCAGTCGTGAGAGGTGAGAGGCGAGGTGCAGAAGGCACGGTGATTGGAAGGGAGCGGCTGCAGAGGGCGGACCCTGAGGTCCAGGCACCAGTCGCGGCAGGCTGCGGTGAGTGAGGTGGATTTGGAGTGGACGGCAGGAAGGAGGACGACGTTGTGGGCTGAGCCCCAGACCAGAGGAGAGGCTGTACGAGGACCTGGGGCCCACCCCTCATCCAGACTCGGCCTGTGTAGGCACCCAAGGACACAGGTTGACCCCCCTCCCAGCCCTAGGATGTCCTGTTCCACGGGGATTTGGTTACAGCATCAGAATTGCTAAGTCCTGATGTGACAGCCCCACAAACCAGCACTGTGCCAAAATGACACCCATGATGGCCACGGAACAGCCCCGAGGGGAAGCCAGACGCCGAGAGCTACCTCTTTAGGAAGGAGAGGACTCAACTCAGCAGACCTGCTGGGGATGCCCAGGATCTGCTCTGAGGAAAGTAACTTTTCCCCCAATTTCTGAAACAACTACCAAGAGCATGTTTTTAATTCCTCTGTGGCGCTTGATCAACTTTTCCCAGTGTTTTTCTTTTTCTCTTTTTTTTTTTTGCTGAGGAAGATCGTCCCTGAGCTAACATCTGTGCCACTCTTCCTCCTTTCTGTATGCGGGTCGCTGCCACAGCACGGCCGCAGAGGAGTAGCGTAGGTCCACACCCAGGAACTGAACCCACAAGCCCGGGCCACTACAGCAGAGTGTGCTGGACCTAACCACTAGGCCACGGGGCCGGCCCTCTTCCTCTCTTTCTGGCGAGGCAGAAGGACTTGCGAGCTCAGTGCCCTGGGCTGTCGGTTGTGGCAGCTGATCTTTCACATTCGTGGAAAGACGGTGCTGGTGTTTACTGGGCCCCGACCGCATCCTCCCAGGCGCGACCTCCCTCAACTGCAGTGTCCAGGACAATCTGTGACAGAGGCGCCACCACCGCCCCCTCCGAGGTGGGGAAACTGAGGCACGGGGGCAGGACGCACTCCAGGCACATGCGGGGTGGCCGCACGGTGGTGTGGCTGGTCCTGGGCTGGTCCGAGAGCAGCTCTTAACCACTTGCCTCCTCCCCTGCTCACGGCAGGACTACCACGGACACCCGTCTTGCTCGGTAACAGGAACTTCTGTTCTCTGCTGTTCAGACTAGGAGACCGTCCACACCAGCCCCCCCAGGGAAGGAAGAGAAGAGGCAGGACGTCACAGCTACTCCTCCACACAAAGTGGAGCTCCATTTCCTCAGGACGAGCTTTCTCACCCGTGTCACCGGCTCCCACCAGACCTGTCTCACGGTTAACATTCAGGCTGGTCCTGGAAACCTCGGACTTTGAGAAAATGGACATAATGTGACAAGGAATTTAAATGAAACGAAACACCCCTTTGCCAGAGCGAATGTTTCTGCCTCTCCTAGCACACGTTGATGCCACCCCGGGGCTGGTCCGAGCGTCCCTATGGGTGCCTTGCGGTCCCTCCCCCACCTGGATGACCACAGGCAAACTACGACTGCAACAGTGTGAGGCTGACGCCACCACGGGAAGCCCAGAAAGCAGGGGCGGGCTCTCCGGGGGACGTCCTGGACGCACCGTGTCGGGGCCCCTGTGTCACTCACGCCCGCTATCCGTCACCCTCCCCTTCCGTGGAGATGTATGGACATTTCCTGCTCAGTGACTGCTTTGGAAACGCACTCTACACTCACGAATTCTACATTCACCTGCACACACCACGCCCGGCTAGCAGACCTCTCCATAAATCCGCCCGGATCTACCCGATGAGACACAGTCTGTGAAGTGTACGGTGAAAGGCCGAGCCCCGGGGCAGGGGCCTGGGCTGCAGCCCACTCTGCCTTGGGAAGTGACGAGTGGTCTTGTGCCTTGGTGACCTTGCAGTGAACAGGCCACTAGCACGGGCAGGGGGAGGGGAGGGAGGCCTGGCAAGGCCCCTCTGTGGAGCACCGGCACGAGCGAGCGCGTGGCTGCCGTCCTGGCGCGCTAGGACATACTCGCCAGCACCTCCTGAGAGGGGCTTCAGGCGGCCTGGTGTCCCCGGGGCTGGCGCCTGCACAGATCACAGTCCTAAAGGGGAGCTGTCCTGACAACAGGGTGGGTGCCTGCTGTGCGTTATCTAAAGAGGAGTGAGGGCAAGAAGCCTTACAAACGCCCCGATCTGAACCGGAGCGCAGGGATGCCGGCCCCGCACGTCCTCAGCCCCGTGTGAGTGTGGAGCTCGGCCACGTGCGTCCCGGCGGGAGCTCTGGGGGTGACCTTCCTGCCAGCATCCACGCGAGTGCCTCTCCTCTCCGGGCCCCGTCGGCAGAGTGTGCTGTCAGACTGGGAGACTACGGTCTGGGGGCGGACAAAGACATCTAACGGTCCTCTCACTCTGCCCCTACCTGACTGTGACTGAGGTGGAGCATCTTCTCATGTGCGTAAACACAGTAATACTTTCTTTCCTGTGACTTCTCTGCCCAGAAGCTTTGCCGTTATTTCTGGTCTTTTTCTGACCAATTTCTGGGACAGCACGTATATTAGGCTTTCAGAGTTTAGTCCTCTGTCCCCAGTCACCATGTCTTTTTATTTGGTTTGTGATGTTTGTTACCATGTGGGAGTTTTTTTAAATTCTCGTGTCACCCTTACTCTCTCGTCTGTCTGAAAGACGGTCCACACCAATGCTGGGAGCTACGGATAAGCTAAATCTGGTCATGTGCTCCTTGCTCGCAAACGTAGGACGACGGGCACCGCCGGGGACAGGGTCTGAACTCCGTTCATAGCTGATCGGCCCTGCCACGGCTCTGCGGGGCTGGGAGAGGCCTCGGAGA